CTCGTCCAGGTCCTTCCCGTCAAAGAACGCCAGCTCGCCAATCGGGAAGTCCGGGTGGTGTTGCAGCACCTTCCCACGAATCTCGTTGTAGATCTCCGTGGTTACATTTGCGGACGCCACCGCCACGGCGTCCTGAAACGCAGCTGAACCCATGAGCCATTCCGCCCCTTGAGCTCGGGCGATGCTGACAAAGCGTGCATGGGAAGTCTTCAGCTCGTTCAGCGCCTCCCCGGCAGCAGGAAGGTTCCGGTCCGCCTCGGCGACTTGGTGCCTAAGGGAGCTCAGCTCGTGCTGAGCACGGTCCCTGTCGACCTCAGCCTTCTTCGCCCGTTCCTCAATCTTGGCGGCCTCGTCCTTCGCCGCATGGATTCCACTCTCTTTTTCAGCTCGAGCGCGCTCCAACTCCTCCCTAAGCTCATTGTTTCTGTGGGCGAGCTCGTCCGCCCGGCTCTCTGCAACTGCAGCTCGGTTCGCCATTTCAGAGCCTTGCAGACGATTCACATTTTCCACAAGGCTAGCCTTCTTAGCAGCCAGCTGTTTGCATTTTGAATCGAGCTCACCGTTCTGTGAACGAGCCTCCTGCTCGCTCTCGTAGAACGCTACAGCGTAGCTGAATGCCTACCAAACAGCAACAATCGTAAGTACCTAGTAAGGAAAAATAATACACCTAAGCAAGTACAATCAAATACTTACATCCATCAGTTTGATCATGGCGACCTGGCCACCATGCTGCTGCACAAAAGCTTTTGCTCGCCGACTATCCGCCGGGGGCACAAAGCTGTGCATGGCTTGCACCATGGCGGGCTGGCACTCCGCCCGCACATAGCTGAAGCCCTTAGGATAAGCAATCCTGGGGCCCGACATCGAAGCCGATGCAGAGGCGAGCTGTACTGCTGCCCGCGCAGTCACTGACGGTGCGTTAGGCGAACGCACGGTTGCAGGACGGGCCACCTGCACGGGCTGAGTCCCCCGCTTGTTCTTCGCCGAGCGAGGGGGACCTCATCTTCTTCGTTCTCAGTCTCCTCGCGTGCACGCCTACATGCACTTGGGGCCACAGCATCAACTATGTGTTCAGCCCACAGCCTAGATGCCAAGCTGGACCCTCGATGGGACGAACTGCGCGATTGAGGTGCGACTAGCGGTCGCTCGTCGAACCGCGTCTGTCTCTGTGAGGTGCTGCCCGGCCCACGACCTCGTGAGCTTTATGCTCGTTTACGCTGGCGTTCGAGAATGCTACTCATCTCTCCTGCACAAACAAATATATAAGACTCAGCCCGGCTAATATTCAAGATAGATGATAAAAATATACCTTCTGTGAACAGGTTTGCCACGTCGACAAACCTGAACACGGAAAGCTGCTCCAAGGTAACCAAGGCGTCTAGATCTACCAGATTCTCCCTCCTCGCATAGTCCAGCAGCTGATTTTTGAGGTCTGTGTCCTGTGGCAGTAGTTGAGGGTAGTTGACGTGTGCATTGGGCACACGCCACTCAAATAGCCGGGCAGCGAGGTCATTGCTTATCCTCTCTGTTCGCGTGTCGCGAACAAAAATGAATTGCATCTTCCACCTCGCCACTTTGTTCTGGACATTCTTGAACAACTGGCTCTTGTCTCTCCCAGAGAGGTAGTACCACTTCACACCTCGGGAGTTGGGACACAGTCGGCATTGAAACAGCGACCTGAACACGATCGCCTTGGCTGGTACCTCCAACCTCGCACACAACAGCATAAAGCCGATTATGAACCTTATGCTATTGGGCGTCAGCTGCGTCAAAGCGAGCTCGTAGTCTGCCAGCAAGTCGAATACCAAGCCGGGCAGGGGGAATTGCAGGCCAACCTCAAAGTGATCCACGTACACGGGTATCCAGCCCGTCTGTGATACCGTGCATGCCCTCTCGCTCTTGGCTCCAGTTCGAAGCAGGATGGTTCTGGGGATGTGGTGCGCCCTCACCATCTCCTCCAATCTCCTATATCCACTTATTAAGGGCGCACAATCCGCTACTTCATGATGTAGGGCGGCCCGGAACCTAAATCCAGCGGGCAGGTCCTTGGGCGCCTTTCGCAGATTGCTCAACCTGCCCGCGATGGTTCTGCTTTCCCATTCTCCCATTACAGGCCGATCTGAGACATGGCTCACTACATCCCCCGCCCCCTCATCGTGACCTGGTGTCCCCTCAGAGGACGAGCTGCTCGATAGCACACTAGGGTGGTCGCCACCGTTGTCTCTGGCGCTGGAACTGGTGCTGCTCTCAAACGCCATTGTTTCCGGCACATCCTGCAACGCCGGCGGCACTATCATCGTGATAGGCTCTATAGATATAACCCCTTCTTCTCCCCCTCTCTGCCCTGGTTACCTCATAGCTCTGTAAGCTCTCTCAATGAAACCAATTTACCTGAAAATGACGTGAAGTTGGTTCGGCGTACTGTTCTTCAAGCTGGAATGTCTTGCTTCATAGAATTTCAAAAAGTTCAAGCAAACACGGAAATGAAAATGGAAAAGGAAACGGTTACGCAGAGAAGAATATGGCAATGTTAATTGCCGTACGCGTGTTTCTGACGCGCCAACTAGCGTCTCACACGTGGCATGCGCTTAACGCCCTTCTGCATAACGTGCGCCGGCTTTAGCTGTCACGTCCCTCAAATGCTGAGCCAGCATTTATGATGGGGAAGGCAGAGAGATATGGGAAATTCAATCGTATCTCCTCAGAGATTTGCTTGACTCAAGAAAATCCCAAGATTCAGATCGTAACTGCTAATGTGTACCCTATATTGTCACATCAGCTCGCCATTGCGAGCACACTTACCAGGTCGTTACAAAGATGACATATTTGCCAGATTGGCTTAACCATGACAATTCGTTCACAAGTGTAGAACGTTTACTAAAATTCCCCAAGATTCAGCTTGTCACATATCGTGACGACAACCACATTTGTTAGGTCGTTACATGGGTTGCAGCTCGCACCAGGCCACAGACCTTTTCATAAATCAATGGGTACCTGAGGTCGCCCTATTTAGCAGCACTACCCGTGCGAGCTGACAAAGTGGTGGTCAAAAACCTCAAGTCGCACTGCATGTGAGGTCGCCACATGGACGAGCTGAAACGGTGTTAGATACATGGCTGGTCCTTGTGCGAGCTCATCTGTCGCGAATCACTTCAACTTGTTGCCATAACAAGCCCGCACTAGTGTGGCTATGGATACCAGCTCGCCTCCACGCTTTCAGGCTCATGAGCTCGCCTATTTTCGTATTGCCTTTCAGCTCGGCCATCTTTGAGGTTGGCCTCAAGCTGTTCAGGCTGTCCGTTATAGTCACTAGCTACAACGTCGACCCACCGCCATTTCCATCCCAGTTCGTCAACCGAACACCGGGGGGGGGGGGAGTAATGTTGGAATAGACCCAACACCCAAACAAGGCTGTGCATAACGGGCCTACGTTACCACCTAGTAGCCCAAGTCGAAAGAGTATCAGTACAAGCATACCCACGTGACCAGCACCACGTGGGCCAATGGGATGCTCACACGTGCAGATGTATGTCAGCACCAAGGGGCTATAAATACCCCCAACTACCTCCGATGAAGGTAATTAATCTTTACGCTTCTCTCTCTGCAATTACTCCTTAAGAGCATATCTTTCTAGAATATTGAGTATTGCTGACTTAAGCGTCAGAGTGTTTTCCCGAGAAAACAACCTCGGGATTTTCAGGTGTAAAAACAGCAAAGGACTTCAACTGTGTTTGACTGCGAAGCTGTCCAAACAACAACCAAAACAAAATTTAAGTAATAATGGGTTTAAGGCTTTTGTGCGAGATGACTGTTTTTGAAGTTACTTAAGCATTTTAGTACGAGTGTCCTTTTTGTTTTTCAATTTATGGTTTTTCCTATGCGTTAGAGTTTCTATTAATTGTACTTTTTTTATTAATGGTTATAGAAAAAAAAATCAGTATACTTTTTCTACTCGTTAATTTTTAGAGAAAGTATTTTTATTATGTCAGATTATATAATTAGAATCATTAGATAGAGGTTGTCTCTTGATATTGAGAATATTTCTCTTAACTTTTATAATAGGATAAGATGGAATCTAGAAATAAAATAGGATTTAATTTTATTAATTATTTAATTAAAATCTTATCAACTTCATTAATTAAGGTTGAAAATAAAATTAATGCACACTTAATACAAACCCCTACTTAGTAGTATAAAGATTTAAATATTTGATTCTATCCCTAATCAAAGTTTTTAAATTTGTGAGTATGATTTTTCTTAATATCTGACATCTTCTTTCTCTTTTTATTTCCCTCATTGTTAAAAAGAAACCTTGAAAATTTTAAATTGCCCATGTAATTTTGCTATTATTTCCCTTCTTTTTTGTCCTAGTTGTTGGGATTAGGCCCAACGCCCTCTTAGGGCCACATGCAGCAGGCCCAACTATGCACCCATAGGCCCAAGAGGAGGAGACATACCCACGTGGGCAGCACCACGTGGGCCAATGAGAGGCTTACATGTGCAGATACATGTCAGCACTTGGGGCTATA